TAATGTTTTTGACATCGAACGCACAGTTCTTTATCTGATATTTAAATACGTAATTTCAGTCTGTTACGCTTGATTACAATTACAATAGTTATTGCTTGTAACTATTTTATAATTCAATCCTATAAAAATAGTTATAAATAAACCACTAATGGTAAAATTAAATCATGATTTTATCTAGTCACATTGTTAATAGCCCGGTAACACACAAGACATGATCAATTTATAAAAACGATGCAATGTCACCTTGGATCAAATAGTAAAATTGTGTAATAACTCATAAAACGAATTATGCAACAAATTTATAGAGTCTAAGCAACGTATTTTTCGTGTTTTAATTTATGTTCTCAACGACAAAAGTTAAGCAAATTTACGTTTCGTGGTTCTTTGTTTGTCTATTGTTGCCTAGCTTGTTGTCAATATACAATCAATAACATGTATTCGTACAGTTGTACTCCTACATTAAAATGAATTGACTGCCAATTTTCTAAGTTTGATAGTTAGTGACCTGTAGCTAGTAATAAACATTGTAATTAGCTGTGCTATTTTTAATCAACTAACTGTAACAGCTTTACTTTTTTATGAGCAAACCTATTACAACAATCAAAAGTTAACACTTTGTACCGCAAGCCTTGAACCAAGTGCTTGCATTTGATGGTAAAATGATTAATTGCATAGTTTGCACTTTTTGTTCAAACACTTGATGATATAGGGTAATTTATAAGATGTTTAAGATAGCAGTAGTGTTGCTTCCCCATGTATCACTTTGCCCAATTATATGCCAATTTTGGAACAAACAGTACTTTACTATTTAATTTTGCCTTGTCTAGCCTTTTTTAAATATTAAATTTTATTTTCTTCTTCAGATATTCATAGGCTATACTACAATTGGTTAAATGGTGAGCAATCAATGATCTTCATAGTAATATACATGACATTTAATTAAATCAAAATTCTTCCCTTCTAAGTACATTACTTCTTGTAACTAATTACTTCTAATATAAATGAGAACAGTCTTACTTTAGTCAGTAGACTTGCAAATATAGCACCGGTATGGTACCCCAGGGCTCGGATTCGAGTTGTCAAATTGGTAGCCACAGCACACTTGAAACTCGTTCTGGAAATATGTCCAGAAAATACTAGTAAAAGGTAATCATTATTTTAATATTAGAGCATTTTAAAATATATTCATACCTTTCACAGCATGTGATTTCCTGACCAAAACAATCATGAATAGTACTGTGACAATTGTTACTTTACATTTTAATTTAACAGTTTCTCAAGGTGAAGTTATATAAAATCATCACATAATTATTAATTCAAACATATTAACATTAATTAGCATAGCTTGAATAATATTTAATTAATTTTCAATATTTGTGAAACATGTGCTTTTTATACAATCTGTAACAGGAAATTGACTTTGTATTTACATTATAATATTACACTTTGTGATCACTTGCAAAAATATGAAATTATTATTTATGACCATATAAGAGTCTTGATACCTGAAATACAATACATTATACATTTGTTCAACTTAATATTATAATTAAATAATTTGTAACTTACATGACAACGAGTGTGTGTTTGCTATGGGGCCCAGACATGAACTAGAACTGAACTAATGACTTTACCATGAATCTCATCTTTGACCAAGGATGACAACAGCTGATTTGCAGGATAGCCAACAGGTTAGAGTGATTTGCTCTTCTTAACCAAACAACAAATTATATCATATACTGTATTTTAGCCTAAGTGCTCATTTAATTTACTTTGTTTTAAAATGATGAAAATTAAAATATTTACATAGTAGTACAAAATATCCCCACGCTTCTCAATTTTCAGCTATTTTAAAACTAAACACTTTCACTTATGAACTATTATAACTTAAAATAACATTTCCTTCTTTTCATTTATCATTTGAATTCGTGCCTTTTTATCAACAATGCTAAGACAACGTACTGCACAGCTGATAACCTGCAATAGTACACATCTTTGCTGTCTGAGCGCAGCACTGACCAGGCGGCGGGTCATTGCATTATTACTGTAATACCAACCTCATGTTTTACATACAACTTATTTAATTGCATCCATTTCACCGATATGAGTTTCATAACTGATACATTTTGCCCTTCAAATTACTAACGACCTCTATTTACAAGAAAATTCATTATTATAATATAAACCAAACCATGTCTGTGAGTTTAAAATCGTAATACATTTTTTTTAATACAACATTTCTGTATTTCTCAAACAAGGAAACAAGTTGCGTTGGCTATACTGGTCGCGTGATTTCAGATATTATTTTATTCCTAGCTACACATTCTTCTTTTTCATTATGTATCTGTTTAACGTGTGCGTGTGTCGTGTTGTGTTTGTGTTAAATCGTGTGTTTTTAGTGTTTAAAATCTAAATAACTATACAGCCCGATGTGTAACTGACTCACTCACGGGGGATACTAATTCTAGACCACTTCTAGATGAGCTAGAGACTTGAAATTTTCGGTGGTTGTAGGTCTAGTGCCCAAACCCCCGGGAAAATTCCAAAAAGTTACATTTTTAAGTTTTAACCCCCCCGTAATCTCGAATTTCCCCCCCATGTTATTCTTATGGGAAATAGCATTGAAAATTGCCGACTTTGGTAAGCTCATCTGAACAACTTAGAAACGTGCTAGAGACTTCAAATTTGCGTAGTATTGTAGTAAGAGGTCTTACAATACCAGTGAAATTCGCAAAAGTCCCATTTTCAAATTTTAACCCCCCCAAAAATCCAAAATGGCGGACCTCTGAAAACGACAAAACACGTTTTTTTCAACCGGATGTAGCTCGAAAACGGTAAGAGATAGAAAAGATTTGAAAGTATATCCAGGAACAGGAATTACATTTTCTACAAAACCCTCTTAGGCGTTTTCCGAAAATCGGACTCCTTCAGCTTCAAAAAACACCCTACTTTCAAAATTTGGTAAATTTTTATTAAATTTTTACCGGTTTTCGGTACTTTTTCATATTTAAATAATTCATTTTTGCACATATTATTAGTGCTCTGTGTTTTCCTTCATTTACTTTAAATTTTACTAATTTAACGTTTTTTCGTAACTTTACTCCTTAACCCCCAAAACTTAGGTTAAATGTCAAAATTTAAAGGTTTTTTGCCACTTTTACGAGCCCCATGTTATTCTTATGGAGAATAACATCGAAAGTGGCCGACTTTGGTATGCTCATCTGAACCGTTTATTAACGTGCTAGAGACTTGAAATTTGCGTAGTATTGTAGTATGGGATCTTTAATCAACGGTGAATTATTCAAAAGAAAGATTTTCAAATTTTCACCTCCCCAACCATCCAAAATGGCGGACATCTAAAAAGGACAAAACACTTTTTTTTTAAACAGCTGTAGCTCGAAAACGTTAAAAGCTACAAAAGATTTGAAAGGATTTTCATGTTCAGGAATTAAATTTTCTACTAAACACTCTTAAGCGTTTTCCGGAAATCGCTAACCTTCACCTTAAAAAAACGCCCTACTTTCAAAATTTGGTAAATTTCTTTCAAACTTTTAACGGTTTTCCATATTTTTTCATACCTAAATAATAAATTTTTGCAAATATTATTAATGCTTTGCATTCTCCTTAGTTTACTTTACATTTTACTCTTTACATGTTTTTTCGTAACTTTATTCCTTGACTCCCAAAACTTAGGTTTAATGTCAAAATGTGAAAGTTTTTACGAGCTCCATGTTATTTTTATGGAGAATAGCATTGAAATGTAATGACCAAAAGGTTATAAGCAATACACTACGTTGATTAAATATTAGTGTCCGTATTTTTATTGACTAATGATTGATGTCAGTAATGCAGCACGTATTTTCCGCTAAAGCAAAATTATGGTTTGGTTCTCGCTCTTATCTTTGCATTCTGATTTGACTACCCCTGTTAGATGCTCGCTCATATAGGTTGACAATATTTCGTCGATTTTGAGTTTGGTTCTCGCTCTTATTTCTGCTACCATATTTGGCTAGACTTGTGGAGTTAGAGCTTCTCCTTTTACTTGAATTTTTTTGGGTTTCTCCGTGATTTCGGATTTAGCCCAGTTATAATGGAGTTTACTTGCGTTGCTATTGGATCCTTTCATCAAGGGGATTCAAAATTCACTGACAGCAACAATTCTCAATGTGTTGATAATGCGGCATGTGCATTAGCTTGGCAAGTGTTCCGCGGGGGATTTAGTACTCATGCTGTTGATGAAATACTCATGGCCGGCGATCGCTTGTACAAGAATTCTCGCCTTGAGTACAACGTTGTCAGCAGATACTTGTTCCCCGAGGAACTTGCCAAGAGCTTCGATATTGAAGACCAGCACGTTTCCGTCGAGGAAATCTCGTACGTGCACAACGGATTGTATCCGACTAGTGTGGATGGCTTGGATGGACTTTTCAAATACAGCTGATGTTTTAACAGCCTACAAAAGTTCAATTCCGTCCCATAATATTCAATTCCTTCCGGTATAAGTCAATTCCGTCCCACCTCAGTCATTTCCGTCCCATGTTCAATTTTGGAATAAAAACAGTATAACATTTAAATTTAGAAGCCGTAAAGTATCCATTAATGTTCTGGAAATAATACTTTATCACACACTTAAAACATTTATTATTTATAAAACAGATTATTCAGAATAATTAAACTATAAGAGACAGGTTGGGAAAAGTTATGAGAGTAGCCGACTTACAAATAATTTTTATAATTGTTTTAAAATCAAAATCCTTAAAACAAGTTTTACAGTTGAAGATTATGAATGTACAAAGTGTTTCAGATATTATTACACAGTAAGACTATTATTTACCATGATTTAAAAAATAGTTTTTCAGTTGGGACGGAATTGACAAAAAACTTTGCATGGGGTGCAAAAATAAATCATAAAAAATACTAAAAGCATTGTTTAATCATGACATTAAATATTAACTTAATATAACACAATATTCAAATAAAAATAAAAAAATTTACACTTTGGAGTGATATTACAATTTTGGTGGATTCATCTACGAAATTTCACCGGACGTTCTCTCTGGAACAAAACGCATACGTCAGTATGGTCTTATTAATTATAAATCATTCACACTAAGACTTGCGACTTCAGCTCTCCCTGGTGTGGATTAACGTCTGCAAGAGTGAGTACTACGACACAATTATTCTAGTAAAAAACTGCTTGAGCACCTCTGAGACAAATTATCACCCATACAACACTCGGAAAAAAAAAACCTTATTTCAAGTAAACATAAATTAAAATTCTATGAAAAAAAACCATCCTATATAGGATTAAAATTTCTTAAGCATCTTCCTAATGAAATCAGAAATGAACAAAGCAGGAAAAATTTCATGAGAAAACTAAAACTTTATTTAGTAGAGAAAGCGTTCTATTCCCTCGAAGAGTATTTTTCCACCTCCCCTCTTAGCGTTAGTAATTGATACAGTTTCGATCATTTTCATTTCCTGGTTCTTGGTTTTTGATTTAGATAATGATCCAAAATATACAAATCTGTAAATTATTAATTTAAGATAGATTTAGTTGACACCATTCAATGTACAAAACTGTACTTTATGAATAAAGCATATTTGATTTGATTTGATATCTGCAGTGCTATCCTGAAAATTAGACCAATTCGTATATACCAAGGCAAAAATGTGGTTCGGATTCCACTATAAACTGTAGATCCCTTAGTTGCCATTAGTTGTATGGGCTATTAATTAACAGCTGTGTCTATGGAAATTTTACTTACTTTTGTTCTGTAATGATAATTACTACACCGATGGCATCTGCCATCTCGCCACCCATAAGAATCCGACTTCCCCATGCCACAAATTTTACACCGGATTCCCTACATAAAACAAAAAATAAGTCTTTAGTCCTAGAACTCATGATCAGAAGTTGGGTGGTGTACAATAATTTACTAGAACAATAATTCAGTTATAACACTGGGTCAGTTATTCACTTGACTTTTATGAAAACATAGATTAATGTCATTGACGTGCCAGATTTATTTGGCCTTTCATTCTCAATGATCACAAAGTTATGTCCATGTTTCCTACTAAAAATTGTAGCACTTCGGCTAACATCCTCGTTCATCGTTGTTCATCTGAATCTTGTAGCAATGTGAGCAATTAATTATTTACAGTATCCTAAGGAATAAATTGAAAATTGTCTAAGATGAATAAAGAATAGTATAGTCAATGTTAGTTCTTAAATCGTATTGAAAAACTGTATTTAATACAGCGTACATATTTCAGTTGGTGTTTTACTTTATAGGTTCCTTATATTCAGGAACTGCCAAAACTAAGGCAACCACAGGGTAAATTTCAATTAATTCAGTCCCCAATATTGAGTTCACAATAAAAATAATTTTCTTTCCAATTATTAAGAAATGTGTTTTGTAAACCAAGGGTAAATCTGAGAAAATACACTTCTTTATACATACTTAAGACTCATCATTTTTGCAGTGAATTTTGAACACTGCAATAAAGCTTACCTGAGCATAACAAGAAAGTTAATTTTTTAGCTCTTCTATATTAGTAAAAAGTGCCTGAATAACCTGTAAATCTTTGGTGAAATTGATCGAGACCCAAGAAGTTTACAAACTTTTGTATCTTCCTTCATTTAGGGTATTTTTTTGTAACATTCTCTTTGGTGATACCCAATCTCAAAGGACACGTAAAGAACATAACCAGGCCATCTAGGCTAACAAATATATTGCTACATCCCCTTACAATCTACAATCTATAGTTTTTGGTGGTGTAGACATGTTACCTGCATCTCATTGTTCCTGATGTCCGTGATCACTGCCACTTGTGAAGCCAGGTCCTGACGCCCCTTTTATAATTACAGAATATCCCAAGTAAATATCGTGATTAAATACCAATATCCGGTTATAGTGTACACCATGAAAATTATCATATTTTTACATGCTGGTGAACAATTCTAGGTTAAGTAATCAATTGTAAGCTTGCACACAATTTAGATGCAGTGCTTAACTAAACGATTGGTTTCCCAAGTGTGACGAAGCATGACATCTGTGGTACATAAAATTTTCAATCAATTCATTTCATTATGAGAGTACCATTGTACGAATACATGACATTTATTGTTTTGTGTAAATGGTCTGTGTAAAGAATAGACAATTCACAAAGTATCACTTGCTCTAAACGGACTTTATAATTACACCCCTTTGGTGACATAATTTAAAAGGCCAGAATAGCCTTGTTTTGTACTTATTTGATATTTTTGCATGCCTTTTAATTTATATAATAACTATGGAACTAATTCTATCTATCGTTACATACTTTTTGTTTCAAGTTCGTTAATATTAAACCAATTTGAGTATATTTGATTTGTATTTCAGCCGGTACACTCACTAGCACACAATAGGTGACACGATCAAACTATGTTCTATTTATATCGTTTGCAATTTTTTATGAGTCATTTTTAGAATTAAAAATATAATTGTAAGTTAAACAAATACTAAATGTGTCATAATATAAGACTGTTCAAAAAAAAATCAAAACTGCAATAATACGTTCTCAGCACTAACTGTATAACAACACAGCTAGTTTTGAACTCAATCGGTGTAAGGAAAACCTTTTTAAAAACTATTTTATCCTAAAAAAGATTAGAGATGGTTTACAAGTTTGTAGAAGTATGACATGTGAAAATGACGTTGAGTTGAACTTGGTTTAAGTTTCAAGGATTCTTTCGGTTCTGCGATTTGCTTGCTTACAAATTGAACGCAAATTGATTGCTCTCTTACTTAAAACTTTCACTAAAGCTTTCCTCATTACTTTATGGTAAAACAATCTAACGGGAAGGCTGATTGAGACAAAAATAAACCAAATATAGCCATCAATAAGAAATATTCCACTAATTGCGCCATTTAAAACTGCATACTCAATTACGCGATGATCACACATTTTTACAAGATTAAGAATTAAATCAATTTAGAGTGGTGTGATTTTTTTTAGATCATAAGCTAGGAAGGACCTTGTAATTCACGATAGCTTATGGGGAAAACCACAAATTTGCAGCCTCTCACCGAGGTACAGAACCACAAACGTTTCTCACAGTTTGAGAATATCTCTGACATTCCATAATTCGTGGTTACCTGACCACTTAGAGGCTACAAATAGTTTAAACACTTTTATGTGGTTTATGAAAGGGTGATGAATGCAAAGACTTTTTGAAAGCTGAATAAGCTCAAGGCCACGTCGATAACTGATATTTCCCCTAAAATGAATTATCCTTACATTTATCAGCTAATATTTTTATTAAAATGATGAATGCAAGTTTATAAAAATATACATTATATCAAATTTTCTTTTACCAAATAATATTGAAGATCAATTAACCTTTCAACAAAACTGAACAAAGAATTTTCAATTAGATTACCAAAGTCAAAAAGGAATTAGATTTAAAAACTAACCACGATTTATTAGCTAACTGGAACTTTTTAATATTAATGATAAAGCTAAGAAAATCGGAATAGTTTTTTTTGTTTTATACAGAAAAGTCGTTATCCAGTATAACGTGACCATATTAATACGTTATATAATTCAGAATAAACAAAAAATGGTATTTTAATATTTTTGTACTCCATTACATAATCGTCAAAGTTTACTTTGCTGAACCATTAGTATTGATTGAAAGAACTACTTATCAGGTTAGGTAACATTATAGATAGCGTGATGAAACCCAGTTGATTAACTACTTTTGTTCTTGGTGACCGTAATCAAGTCAGAGTTAGAAGCCAAGATAGTCATTGTAATGTCAAGTCACATAGGATGAGTTCAATTACTTCCCAAGTACGAGAGGTGGAGACAGTGTTAGATTCACATCCAACCAGAATACAATAAATGATCATACAGCGTTTCTTCAATATAAGACACAGATTATAAGTAATGTTTTTGTGTTTTTACCTGAAAGTGCTCAAGTAGGAATTAAGTTTTTAATGTAAGAGTAGGTTAAACATAGAACTAATTGTTCACTATAAAATTCAATTCTAGAAATTGAGTCATTAAAAAAAATTTTGGGTTAAAATTAAACAATTTTTAAAGCCAATAAATATGTGTATACAGTAAAATAAAACAAAAACTAAATTATTTAAATAACTAACACCAAAGTGCAAAAATTGAAGATATTTTCATGTTCACATCACAAAACTAGGCATGTATTAGGAAATTTATGTGTGTAATAAACATAAGTTTTGTAAAATATTTCGGTAATAAGTTACCAATTTAAACTACTAACAATTTTCTACGTTTGATAAAATATTTTTTCTTACAGAAATTGAATATTTAAATATTTACTAAAAAACCTAAATCCTATTTGAAACAAAATTTAAATGTGGTATTTGATTTAACACTTAACAGAATAATACCACGATTCCTCAAAGTAGTGCATTCGTTGATAATCTCTTCTACAATCACTGTTAATCTGGGTAATCCTCTTAATGTAACTCAGCTGAAGGTATTCTTTCCCAGGCCATTAATAAAGTCAATATCACAACCATTAGAGCTCATCTCTAAAAGAGATAGACAATCCGAGGATAGTTTAACCAGCACAGTTGTGAAGCGCTTTGAAATCAATCATCAGCATGTAAAATGAATATCATCTTCATAGTGTATGCAACATACAAATAGTATATTGGTATTCAATCACAATATTTACTTAGCACTATTCTGTAATTCTGATTTTTTATTTCAGACCTATCCTAAGTTTGTAGATAAATATATTGATTTAATTATGAGAGCCAATTATAAAATTGCATTATAGAAAAATAACTATACTTTACTAAACCTACAAAAAAAACACATTAACTACATGGTACTAACTATAAAAAGTTAAAATAAAGTTGAATTTAAGTAGGATATAGTGCGAATGATTCGCACGGCTTGGCTAGTATTACACAGGGTGTTCCATAAGTAAACAGCCGAATTCTGGGACATGGTTCTATGGTTAAAATTAAGACCTAATCAAGAATGTCAGTTTCTCAGAAATCCCAAATATCTACAATTTTGTTTTTTTCACATTTTTATCTTTGAAATTTTACCCATCATTATGATACTTGGTATGAATGTAAAGGTAGAGGAGACCCTTGCTAGAAAAAAAGTAATCTTTAACCAATAAAAATTTAAAAATGGTAGCCATTTTATATATTTTTATTTAAATTACTGTAAAATGGCTTATTTTGTAAAAAATACCAATAGCACTTTTATTTAGCATTTAGACACCTATCTAACGACACCAAGTTCAAAAAGATCGAATACAACAACGTAGAACATGGCTAAGCTAGTCAGGTTTTCATATTTACGACTAGAAATCGTGATATTTCAGTATTTTTTATTTGGTCTTTTTGAACACACTCAGACATATTTGGTTTCAAAAGTACTGTCTTGAGTATATTTAAGTTCCTCTCGATCAAAGTATTTTCAATTGCTTCTGTACACGTAGGAGCCTTCTTCACGTGTGTTTACATACGATCTTAACAGTTTTATATCAATTACAATCAAATGTAAACTTGCTGAAAATCCTTTAAAAAAATCAATTTTTGGCTCAAAGCGAGTTATTGGGAAGTTCCACGCTAATTTGCCGGGTTTACGGCTGATGGAACTGTGCAATTAGATGATATCCACATGCATATTTACATTCATGATCAATATAGCCTAATAGTATGCCTAGTACTAAATTAATAGCAAAATTTGCATGAGAGATCAATGTTTTGTAAATTCCTTTTAATGAATTCCTTTTAATTATAAATACGTCTATTAACTCTCCTTGCAAACACTTCGTTTACAATTTTTACGTTGTATCAGGCTGTGCGTTTTGTTAAGAGATTTATTAGTTTATTTAATTATTTTTGGTTTTGCATTTTCTTTTTTCAAAACAACTTAATACAGAAATAATTTCATTATGACAACAGTTAATAGGTCATTCAGACTGATAGTATAAAATCAAAACAACGTAAAAACGTTATATTTAATTTCATTGATCAGTGCAATAATATCTCGATTTCTTAATAAGTGTCATTACTGTTAATGTCACTTCTACAATCAATGTTAATCTGGGTAATCCACTTATGTAACTCAGCCGAAGGTAATGTTTCCGAGGCTATTAATAAGACAGGTCAATATTACACCCATTAGTGCTCATCCCTCAAAGAAGAGGGGATATAGGTAGTGGATCTAATGATCTAATCAAGAGTAGTTTAAGTTCACCTGTCAAATTAATGTTTACTTACAAACTTATGTCAGCTTGTTCTTGATTTAAAGTTCTCTAAATCGCGCAAAGAATTTATTAGTTTGGTTCAATTTAAAGTAAAGGTAAACTAGATGACCCGTGCTGCTCCGCAGCATTGAAATTAATAATAAAAAAAATAAAATACTAAACTTAATAAGGGCGGTACAACTTTAATTAAACTCTTATAGGGCTGCTGGATTAATTTCGCCTTATGACCAAATTAAAGTATAACACATTCCATATAACACAGAGAAAATCGTCCCGATGTATTTTTTTCCGTTTTGAAAATCAATTAATCCAGAACAATATCCACACACTTCCTAAAAGCACCTACAGAGAAAGCACGTACATTTGTTAACTCATATGTAACACAGCGTGAATGAGGCTTTGTTTTATTAACAACAATATTTCTTGTAAAATAGACATCTCTGTCGGTAGAATTGCATGTACGCATATTCTCAGGAGTAGTTCCCTCCATCTGGTAATCTTTATTAATATTACGACTTTTATAATACTTCCTTCCAAACAATGTTTGCTGTTCGTCCACCTTTTGATTTAGTTTCTACTTTTACAGTATCGAAAGATTTCCCTCTCGATAAGGCGACGTACAACTGACCGTGACTAAATACTGGTTCAGGCAAGTACACACCAACTCGATCAATCGTTTGGCCCTGCGCCTTGTTGATGGTCATGCAGAACGCAACCTTTATGGGGAATTGTCTTCGT